GGGACGTTGAAGGTCTCTGAGAGGAGGACAAGGGGCAAGCTTGCTGGAGTAGTGAGGGTCAAGGAAAGCGTCAAGGTGGGGGAAGCTGAGTCGGGCGTGGGGGCTTCGGACTGAGGCAGAGGGGAGGGGCTGTCTGAGCGGGCCGTGAAGTGGGGAGCCACGCCTGAGCAACAGAACAGTGCTTAGTCCAGCCCACTGGCAGTGGAGTGTTCATCTTTTATTTCTTTTTTTCCTTTTCGAGTCGGAGTCTCACTGTGTTGCCCAGGCTGGAGTGCAGGGGCACGCTCCCGGCCACTGCAATCTTGACCTGCTGGGCTCTGGCGATCCTTTCATCTCAGCCTTCCAAGGAGCCAGAAATCCAGGCACGTGCTGCCATGTCCGGCTGATTTTCTGATTTATTGTATAGATGAGGTCTCATCAAGTTGGCCAAGCTGGTCTCAGACCCACAGACTCGGCTTCCCAGAGTGCTGGGATGATAGGGCTGAGCCACTGCGCCCGGCCGAGTGTTCATATTTAAGAGGGCTGGGGTTCAATGGTGGGGCTTTGAGGCAGTGAGGAATGAAGGTTTTTATACCATGATCGTGAAATGGGAACTCCAGCCACCCAGGACCGTTTAGCAAGGAGCAAGATGCTCTTATATTCGGAGTGCCTGCCTATGGGATGGTTGATACAGCAAAAGTGGAGGTCACTCTAGGGGGTGACTGGAGCTGGACTTGGTAAAAGCAGTGGAGTTTGCTGTATCAGTGGCTGTTTAGGACAGGAATTTCAGCTTTGTCCTGGTGCCTGGTAGGTGCTCAGGAGCATGGTGAAGTACTCTTAAAAGTGTAAGTAGTGCTGCTAATTTCAGATGTAAGCATCCTAGAGTTGGGCTGTCTCTGTTCAACCCCAGTGCTGGTAACTTTGGCAAGTTTGAGAAATCGGAGGTCTTTCCTTCTCTCTTGTCCTCCTTTTATGACTTCATACTAACTGACACGTGGCAAAAAGTCCGCACGAGGACTTGATTCTGAGATCCATGTGCTCCAATCCAAACTTCATTTGGATAGCAGTAGCTGCGCTTGTCCCTACCTGCTTCTATTAGATGAAAATGCCCTGAGAACTTCTTTATATGTGGCACACAGGTGCCCAGTAACCTTGTGTTGAATGGAAGTAGCTTGTATTAAAGTGATTCTTACCAGAAGCGAATCTGTTTTTTTCCCTTTATTTTAAAGATGTGGGGTGCAGCTCAGGGTTAGGTGTACAGATGTTCGTTACGCAGGTCCCCTTGCTGATGAGGTGTGGTCTCCCCTGCCCCCCGGCAGTCTCCCTCAACCGCCAATCCCACCCCGTGAATCTATCTTAAAAGAGGAAAGTAGCCCCAAAGCATCGAGAATCTCCCCGCAATGACGGAGTGCCCGGCGTTCGCGCAGGCCTGTGGTGGTGCAGTGGGAAGGAGGAAGACGAGGCCCGACTGTCAGGCCGCTGGAGGGCTGAGCTTGGGACCTTCTGATGAGGGACAAAATGGTGCCGGGCTTTCCGGGGACCTTTCAAGGGGAGCTGTCCTCTTATCTGCCTGTCTGTCCCTTGGATGTGACCGTCTGGACCTAAGTTCTCGGGTGTTTCTCACGGTTTTTGACGTGAGGGGCGTCAGGCCAGGCTCGCCTCACTGCCCTGTGGCATCGCCAGGCGGTGAGCCCCGCCTCTCCCTCGTCGGTCCTCTGGGTGGCGTGCGCAGTGCAGGGTCCCTCAGCTGGTTCCCTCCAGGTCTTGCTGAGCATGTCTGCGTGCTTCCACAGGAGCGTGCGTGTGGTGGAAAACACATGGAAAGTGTGTGCTTTGCAGGTGTGTCGCCCTTCCTTTCCATCTTGCTGTCTCTTTCCTTCGGTCTGTACTGAAGCCGGTTTGAGTTGTCCTTTCCTTGGAGTCGTAGCTGTTTCCCCTCAAAGCCATGCTGTGGTCTGCCATCAGCAAGGGTGCTCCTGCAGAGATAGCAGCAAGTCCTCTGTTTAAATGCAAAACGGCAGAGTGACCATGGAACCAGACGCCCACTTTCTCATGGGCAGGGACTGTCTGTCAGCCTGCACAAAACTCCTGCAGCTACTGAGGCCACATACCTTTCTGGTTCTCAAGCATCATGTGACTCTTTTGTTTAGTGTTCTGACTTGGGCCCTGTATTGTGATATTGCTGAAAAAGAAACCTGAAGGAAAAACATAAAAAAAATCCATGACGCGTGACGGTGCAGCGGGGACAGAGGGAGTGTGTGGGGAATCAGGACCAAGGGAAGGCCCTAGAATGCAGGGATTAGAAGAGAGTGCGCTTTCCTTCCAGTGTATTGCCCTGTGAAAATGACCTCGGGAGCTTATTTCAGAGTGAGCTGGGTACCCCGTCTCTGGGAGGTGTGTGTGCCTCTTGTCCTTCGTTCTCTCAGTTGCCAGTTATTTTGGTAATTATAGGTGCCAGCAATTCTGTCCCTGTAATGATGTGGAAACAACAAAGATTTAGGAGTATTAAACTAGATTATCTTCAAGGGCGTCTCCCGCCGCAGGACGTGTGTGTGCCAAACACAATTGTTTTTGAACTCCTTGGACTTTATGGGCAGAGTGGGACGACGGGGTAAAGTAACGGTCGTTCTTTTTGAGCTAGGTTTTGCAGTTGTGGAGTTGATGCTCGTATGTATGTTGCTTCTTGACTGCTGGCTGGAGTAGCTCTCTGATGTCCTTGCTCCTGTTAAGACGCAAAATGGTTTGACTCTTGGCTGGATCCCTAAAAATTTCAAACTACTCTTTCCCAGTTTCGTCGTCATGTTGAATCTGATGACACACATGAATCTGATGGTTACTTTCCAGTCTTAATAGCATTGTCACTTCTCTTTCATTCCGACAGCTCTTTGCGCATCAGAACTTTGGCTAGGGTTTTGGACTGATTTGGGAAGCTCTGTGTGATCCTTATATATGAAATGTTACATAGCTATGCCATTATTTAAATATGATGTAGCAAATTATTGGATAGATGATACAGAAGAGAGACCCCAAGAAGAGATTCCGCAAGGATAAGCATGGCGATGAATAGGTTTACTCTGAGAACGAGACTGATGAAGACAGGGAAGAGAGAGTGTCCTTTCCTTGAAGTCGTTTTCACCCGCTTGGGCCTCACTGGATGTTACTGTTTCATCCTTTCAGTTTGAGGATGCAGTTCTCCGTGGGAAATATCGCCTGTCTTCCTTGGTCTGGGCCTGTGATGGGAAGGAGGTTTTCATCCTTTGGTGATTCCTGAACCTATTTAACTATGGCAGTGGTTGGTTAACCGGAAGAATTTTATTCATACTTATTTATGACCTTAAACTAAAGTGGATCTTTTATAGACTTTGGAAAGACACTGAGACATTGTCACCAGGCTGAAAGTTAGACCGATGAACTCCTCTGGCTAAGATAGGAGGAGCAGCATGTGGGAAATGATCTGCTTGTAGAAAAGTGTAGGCTGGTGAGGGCTACCCAGCGAGAGGAGTTTGAGGGCATTAGACTGGGGTTCTTTGAGGGTTAGGGTTGAGGAAGACCCTTCTTCCTTCTGCACGAACATAGTTATGTTCTTTTTGGACTTTACCAGTTTTTAGCCGGGTGTGGTGGCGCAGGCCTGTAGTTCCAGCTACTTGGAAGGCTGAGGCAGAAGGATCGCCGCAGTCTAGCAGGTCGAGGCTGTAGTGGTCAGGAGTGTGGGAGCCCTCCAACTCCAACCTAGGTGATAGAGTGAGACTCCAAAAAAAAAAAAAAAAAACTTTACCAGTTTTTCAGAAAAGTGAATCTGGATATATAAAGGGTATTCATATCCAATCATATACACACAAGTAATGGAAGGAGCATTTATTCTCTCTTTCTCCCCCCCACACCCCCCTGAATATCTGTGCCATTTTTCCTTTTCTGGGTATATTTGTGACGTAAGCCAGGAATTAAAAACTGGTGAGAAGTAGCCATAAATATACATTGGGTGATAGTCATTTAGTTATGCTAAAATTTTATATTCCCAATTCAGTTGGAATAATTTCATTAGCAGTGCCTTAAGCAAAAGGATATATGATTGAATTTTCTTTTACTGAATTGCCTAGTTACATCCAATCCAATTAAGTTTTGCATATGTTATCAGTGGCATTAAATGCAACCAAGTGTGGTGTTAAGTACAATTAGTTAAGTTACTTTAGTAAGAAGCAACTTGTACTTAATATGTACTGAGCTAGTAAATATAACAAATGTAGGCCTTCAAAGATAACGCATTTTTACATAAAACATGAAGTGACCATTAATTTGTTCTTAATATCCATAGATTTCCTCATTAGAATTCCTATAAAATGTAGCATTTGTATAGAATATGATGAGATTATTGTCTTAAATTTGTTAGTGAGTCCACAGTAAGTAATCTCAGAAACATCATTTTTGAACTAGAAATAGTTCTATACTTCAAGGGTGAAAAATTATTATTATAATGAATATTTTAAAAGTCACATAAATGGAAGCTCTTTTAATGGCTGGTAATCTTTGTTTAACACCTCTTTGAAAATCACAAAGTTCTAAGTAAGGTTTGCCAGACATGTAAATGTTGGTATGATAATTTTGTGTTCTAGCCTTTTGGTTAATAGAAACTTTTGAAAGTTAAAAAGGTAGCAAACCAAAACCAAAAAACCATGCAACCAAAAATAGCCCTGTAGATCCGGAGTGCTGGGAGACCATCTCTCGGGCTGTGACCAGCTGTCTCTTGGCTAGGCAGTTTAGTGGCCTTGGGCCTTTGTTCCCTAAATTTTTAAAATGTGGTTGTGATGATGAACTGGGGTGTTGAAATTTATAAGCATATTTTTCCTGCTTCCAGTGCCGAAGGGACATGACTCTGGATGGCTTTCTAATCTCTTCTGTTCATCTAAGTGGAGATGGTGTTAAATTTTTTTTTTTTACCCTGTCTTATTTTAGGAGTAGGTGTTCTCAGGATAATAGCTGAATAATTTTCAACATAAAATTTTTATTTATGTTTAAAATTTTAGGTATGCTATACCCCCGGAGCATGGAAAACGACTTGAAAGACTAGCTCAAGGTAAAGCTTACTTTCTGTTTTGTTTTATTTTTATTCTTTAACCTTGATAGCATCTTTGTTTTTGGTGTATTTTTACAGGAATGTTACTCTGGTGATTTTATTCTATACAAGTTATTGACTTTAAATGTTTCTGTAATTGAGAAATTTTAATTTGTGAATTTTTTTCCATTACATAATCTTTGTGGTTATATTCATTGGCTGCTTAATGTTTCATCAAGTGTGATTGCCCTTAATCTATTGCGGTCATTATTAATGTTCTTATTTTAATATAGTGTAGTCAACATCATTGTGGGAATAATATTTCTCCTTCTCGTAGGCTATACTTTTCCAGACAGGATTGTTGCTGTGTGTCAGGGTGTAGGTATTATGACTATTTCTTTTTATTTTTTTAAGATTAGAAAATATGGTTTGTTTAGAAAGTAAATTTGAGAGAGAAAGAGGAGAGTCACCTCCTCAAGGTAGGAGAGGGGAGGGGGCCAAAGCCAGGAAACATGGGTTGGCCATAGCTCAGGGTATACATGGACACACCATAGCTTCGCAAGGCAGTGGCCACCATGTCTACTTCTTTTTTTTTTGGAGTCGGAGTCTCACTCCATCGCCCAGGCTGGAGTGCAGTGGCATGCTCACAGCCACCCCAGTGTTGACCTGTTGGGCTCCGGCAATCCTTCCGCCTCAGCCTTCAAAGTAGCCGGAACCACAGGTGCACCTGACCACGCCTGGCTAATTTTTCTTGATTTATTGTAGAGACGAGGTTCGGGCTGGTGTCGAATCCCTGGGCTCAGGCATTCCTCTCACCTCAGCCTCCCCAAATGCTGGGATGACAGGCTGAGCCACCGAGCCCAGCCGCATCTATTTCTTATGTCGCCGTGTCATGTTCCCCAGGGGTTGCCTTCTATCACCTCTGATACCTAGTTCTTCTGTGGCCCACTGGGCCTGAGAGTGTACCCTCGTGACAATATGATGGGAATGGCCCTGGGTGACTCCATATGCATGACATTTGGGCCTTCTTTGATCAGCAAAATGACACTTACTTTGCTGCCAGCTGGCTTTTTATTTATTTGCTTATTTTTAAAACAACTTTCTCCATCTTCACATGGGCCAGAGCGAGGGCATTTTCAGAGCTCTGTTGACGTCTCACCTTGTGCCTGCTTGTGCAGAATTCCAGCACCAGCGGCAGCCACCTTCCTCTTCCCTCTTCTCATCAGGGTGACACCAGGTAGCATTGCTCCCACCTGCTCGCACTGGGTGGAGACTGAGATTTTCCCCCTCCATCCTTCTCTAGTGCTGTTAGCCATCCTTCCCTTAAGAAGATGTAGGCTGGGGGGGCCTCATTTCAGGGGACATGGAATTCCATTCGAGAGATGGACTGAGGAGGAAGCCTTTCTGCCTTTGTCCTGTGCTGAGTCCTCAGGGAACAGGGTCCTTCTATTATAGCCAGGTGCTGATCTAAGTGTCACCAGCATACTAGGTTTGCCTTCTATGAGGAAAATGATGTTGTTCCTGCATTATATGTGCTTTCATTTAATAATAAACTGAAGACACTGAGAAACCACATTTCTTGATTCGACAGTTTTGAACAGGAATGGCATTTAAAGGTGACTGTCCCCCAAATCACAGAAGAGTGTTAGTGGAAACCGGTCCAGCGTCGCATTTGGAAGAAGTATTGTTATGATCCTGGCAAGCTGATAACTATGTGATACATTACATTAATAATAGCAATGTAAATGTAGTCTTGGACTTTGTGAGGGACTACTTTATGAATATCAAGGTGCAGGAATCTTGGTTCTGGATCATAGATTTAGAGCAGAGTTCAGGAGAGGATTGCCACAATCCTCACCTACTGTAAAAACCAGGGAACTTTGCCTTAACAGTATCTGCTGAAATAGCCTTTCCTCTGTAATAGTTAATCCACCATTTTCTATTAACTTCACCACTAGAGAACTTTTAAAATGAAGCCGATGTCAACATTACAGTGTTGAGTCACACACACACTAAAATCTCTGATACAAACTATTAATGCTTTGACGTCAACTGTCTGAACGTGACATTTTGGAAAAAATAGGTACCATTTGTTTAATCAGCAAGACGTTAATAAGCTTGAAGGAGGAACAAGAATTTTAAACCAATTGCGTGTTTATTTAAAATTGCTTTGCAGCATTAGGTTGAGAAACGAAGCAGGGAAAAGACCCTGCCAAATCGTGGAGGATTTGCATCTGCTGACCAGATGCCAACCACGTTAATTGAATTCTGCTAAATAATTAAAATGATAAAATAATGCAGTCAATGTGATGGAGCATTATAGAATGTCTAGGTCAAGGCAACACTTGATACATAAAATGAAAAGTAGGCTCGGATATTTTCCATTATCTTGTCTGCACATCATAATTATCACACTTGCCTTTTATGCATGAATGCTTTCATCTTTGGTTTCTATTGAAATCTTGATTGACTGTGGCACCTACAAATATTTTATCTGAAAGACATCAGGACTGCATCTAATAAAGCCGGGAGTTTGATTTTTCCCTTCAGCTACTTTCTCGTCCTCACAGGTTTTCCCCTAGATTATATAGACATAAACGTAATGAACAATCTCAAGCGAATTGTTGCAATTTTTATACTTGCTGTATTCATCTGTAATGCCATTGCATTCCTTCTAATTTTTGGTTTTATACGATTCGATTGCACATATGCAGGAGAATAGAGGTATAATGTTAAATCATGAATGGCAGTTTGGAATATTTTCTGTTTTTGAAACGTCTAAATCTCACCTATTTTAGAAACATGACAATGTCTTTGTTATGTTAAGCAAAGTACAGATTAAGGCAAGCTGCGAAAATCTGATTTTTTTTTTTTTGTGAAAAGTAACATTCAGTTTGTCTTTGTTTTAAAAAGTTGAAGATTATTTACTTTGGATAAAATGTTGGTAACTGGGAAAAAGATAGGTGACTTAAGTCTGTACAGCCAATTTTGGACGTATGAATGATAGCAGGAATCTTGTTTCAAACAACAGTATATTACAAGTGAGTTGATTTTTTTTTTTTTTTTTTTAGATCTTTATATTTACTTGTAACAAGTGTTTCATTTTTGTGATCCTATTTAAAAAGCAGTATTCATCAAAAAGGAACACACAAATCAATGTTAGGAAACATTAATTGGCTGGACCTGGTGGCTCAGCCTGTAATCCCAGCACTTTGGGAGGCTGAGTCAAGAGGATTGCACAAACCCGTGTTTCAAGACCCACCTGGGCAACTTGGCGAGACCTCGTCTCTACAATAAATGAAAATTTAGCTGGGCATGGTGGTGCGCTCCTGTAGTTTTGGCTACTTGGAAGGATCGATGGAGCTTAGCAGATCAAGGCTGCGGTGGCTGGGAACGAGCACTGCAATCCGCCTGGGCGACAGAGTGAGACTCTGACTCAAAAAAAAAGAAAAATTAATGTAGTTCATGTTTTTAAGCTCTGTGTGTGTGCGTGCGCACATGAGATTTTTTCTTTCTTTCATTTTTTTTAATAGCTAGTAAGATTGAGTTTAAGCCTGTGGCCTGGGGTCTTAACCTGACATCCCGGTGGCCTGTCCCCTGTACATATAGGTTTGTGGTGGGATGCACGGAGGCAGTCTCTAGTCTTACTGAAGGCTATATTCACAACTAGGCATGTGTGCGGACTTCTGAGAGGCCATCATCAAATACTCCTAGTGGTTTGGTCTAAAGAGATTGTGAGCCACTGCTGCCAAGCGATTAGAAGAACAGCAATAAATGCCAAGTCATGCTAATTTTATGAACGGATTCTAAATTGAACTGTTGTCATACCTCTGTCTTGGAATTAAGAAAATGTACTTTTATTAGCTCTCAAAATGGTAAATATTATTCCCTTGAGCATTTATTTAGTTGATGGCCTGAAAATGTTATGTTCAAATGCCTAGATTGAAAGGCTTATAGATAAAATACCCCTGATTATAAATAATCAGTTTTAAAGGGCACTGTAGGCCAGAAAAATGTGGAAGTCCAGTGATACAGCCTGTGCCTTCATGCCTAACTCCTGCTCCTGCCTTAGGTTCAGAGATCAATGTGTGGTGTGTCAGAGTGTGTTTATTTTCATCTTACGATAGGCTGAATTGCATTAAGAATAGTGAAGCACCTTCTAAACTTAATTTCCTAATAATTTGATGTCAGTAACATCACCATCTGTGTTTAAATGTACTTTGTTATTTTATATCCAGCCATCTTCTTTGTAGGATTTTAGACGCTGTGCAATAGTACATAAAATACTTCGAAGTAACATAATTCAAGCGGGAGTGAAAGACTTTCAGTTCAGATGAGTGGCAACAGAGAATGGAGAGAAAGAGTTCAGGAAGGGAATGCCAGCTGGCAGGGAGGAATTGCAATGGCGCAGTAAAGATTTCTGTGATTTTCGAGTGGAGTAGGGCAGAGCCTGGGCCAGCAAAGCCCTGGTTTGCTGCTTCTGATCTGTTGGTCCCCAATGTGCTTGGCGTCAGGAGTTCTGTGTCACCTGTGCATATGCTGTCCTTGTGACATGTCAAGGGGCAGAAGAGGGAGAACTAACAGTGTTTTAGGAATATGTTAAGAAAAAACCACATATATTAACATATATCTGTTATGTTGGGTGGACGTTTTAACTATAAGTTTTCTGCCAGCTAGCTTGAAATAGAAAAAAAAACCTTGCCCTTTCCACAATGCACCATGCTCAGGAGATAAAAACAAGGCACTTGTCTAGGAGAAGCACTGTCCTTCTCTATCCCAAGATCAGCATGAAGTTCCCTTGCGCCCATCCTAGAGAGCTGTACTGTAGAGTTGTTGAAGAATTATGGGACAGTTAGAGCCACGTAAAGTCCGGACAGAGAGAAGCCTGTGAAGTAAAAATTGTCTATGCAGTCCTGAGTTACCACTTCATGAATGGTAGGAAGCACAAAGAGGCTAAATACGTTATGAGCTTCCTCTCAAACAGGGATGTGGGTAAATGTAACCAACTTCCCACCACATAA